TATGGTGATTGTACTTTGCAAAAAAATTTATAGATATTTTTACATTTTTATCGTTGCAAAAAAAACATTTTTTATTTAATAATATTATGTTCTTTTATTACGGTTAATATGATAAAATAACTCAATTTTTTTCACTACTTTTTCATTTAACTAAGCATAAATTTTTTATGGAACTTTTAATTTTAGTGTGAATTCAACTCAAAATTTTTTATTCTCTTGCTTTCAATTCTTTTTCATTTATTTCTATTTAGGAAAATGACAGATAAAGAATGTGGAATATATGATATTCTAGTTTGGAAAGTTAAGGAAGTGTAATGACAGAGAGGAAAGTCCTCTCCAAATTAGAATTTTGAAATTTAGTGAAATGACAAAAATACTCTTCATTATTATTATTTTGCAAAAAGCTTAGTCGTCACTGGTGGCCGGCCACCGATGTGATGGCTGCTGGAGGAGTATTTTTGGTCATAGCTTTTTTTTTTTACCGTGTGAGACTATTGCAAGAAAATGGTGCGGGTAGGATTTAATCCCACTACCCTTTAGTCATTTGAGCCAACAAAAAGGAAGATGACCATTAGGCCATCAAAAATTTGTTAACCTTGTAATGCAAACAAAAATATAAGTTGACTCTTTTACTGTGATTTCAGTCTATGACAATAATTTATCTAGGAATGATAAGTTTTAATTGAGAAATAATAAATCTAAATTTGATATTAACAAAACAATTTTTCCTGATACATAATGAGAAATATCATGTACATTAATTAAAAATGACAATAATTTATTTGAAAATGACATATATTTACTAGAAAATAACACGTCTAAACTTGAAATTAACAACATTTCTTTTCCTGATATATAATATGAAATAACATGCGCATTAAATAAAAATGACAACAATTTATGTGGTAATGACATGTCTTAATTGAGAAATAACAAATTTAAATTTGATATTAACAATGTGTCTTTTCCTAATAAATAACATGAAATAGCATGTACATTTCCAAATAAATCGTTATCATTTTTCACTAAAGACGTGTTATTTTCTAGTAAAAACATGCCATTTTCAAATAAATTATTGTCATTTTTAATTAATATACATGTTATTTTTTTGTTATATATCAGAAAATGTTGTTTTATTAATATCAAATTTAGATTTGTTATTTCTCAATTAAGACTTGTTATTCCTAGATAAATTGTTGTCACATGCTGAAGTCATAGTAAAAGAGTCAACTTATATTTTTGTTTGTATTATAAGTTTAACAAGTTTTTGATAGCCTAATGGTTATTTTCCTTTATGTTGGCCCAAGTGACCAACAGGTAGTTGGATTAAATTCCACTCCCACTACTTTCTTATAATATTCTCAAATGGTCAAAAAAAAAAAGCTATGACTGAAAACACTCCACTGCAGCCACCACATCGGTGGTTGGCCATGGGTAAGGACTGAGTTTTTTTTTCCCCAAAAAAAGAAGACAAAAGACATTTTTGTTATTTCACTTAATTTTAAAATTTGTCCCTTCGGGGACATCCAATAAAATTAGAATTTAATTTTAAAATCTCAATTTGGGAAGGACTTCCCTTTTTGCCATTATATTTTCTTAACTTTTCAAATTGAAATACCATATATTTTAGGGAAAAAGACAAAAAAAATGAAATATTAATTTCATAATGCCCAAAACATATGCTCAATTTAAGAAATCTCATTTTGGTCTCAAGAGACTAAATTGGGATTATCATGTTAAATAAAAAGACCAAATTACCCTTCAATTTATTTATTGTTTTTAAAATACCAAATCCCTTATTGGTCGACTGGTCACCGGAGCTTCAGCGACTAGCCAACAATTGTTCACTGGAGCTCCGTTGGTCGGAAAATTTTTTTTTGAAAATTTTCACAACTTCAGTATAACAATTAACAATTTTTGTAATGCTATTAACAATTTCAGTGTAACAATTAACAACAAGATTTCTGGGAAATTCAACAAGGTCCGGTGGCTGGAAAAGTTTTTTTTAAAAAAATTTTCACAATTTCAGTATAACGGTTAACAATTTTTATGACGTTATTAACAACTTCAGTATAGTAGTTAACAACAGGTTTTCTGGGAAATTCAACAAGCTCCAGCGGCTGGAAATTTTTTTTTTGAATATTTTCACAACTTTAGTATAACGGTTAACAACTTTTATGAGGCTATTAACAACTTCAGTATAGCAGTTAACAACAGGTTTACTGGGAAATTCAACAAGCTTCGGTGGCTGGAAAATTTTTTTTGAAAATTTTCACAATTTCAGTATAACAGTTAACAACTTTTATGACACTATTAACAACTTCAGTATAGTAGTTAACAACAGGTTTACTAGGAAATTCAATAAGTTTCGGTGGCCGGAAACAATTTTTTTTGAAAACTTTTACAATTTCAATATAACAGTTAACAACTTCTGTGATGTTATTAATAATTTCAGTATAGCAGTTAACAACATGTTTTTCGGGAAATTCAACAATTGGTCGCCAAAGCTCTGAAGGCCAGAAACAATTTTTTTGAAAATTTTTACAATGTCAGTATAATGGTTAACAACTTTTGTAACGTTATTAACAGTATGTTTTTTGAGAAATTCAAAAAATAACATTTTTACAACTTCAATAATGCTATTAGCAAGTTCCGTAACTCTATTAACAACTTCGGTGTAGTATTTAAGAACATGTTTTCTTAAAAATAAAAAAAGGCATTTTTACAATTTTAGCAACTACTTTTTTAACAACTTTAATATAACGGTTAACAACTTTTGTAATGTTATTAACAACTTCAATATAGCAGTTAACAATAAATTTTCCGAAAAAATTCAAAAAGTAGCATTTTTACAACTTCAGTAATGTCGTTAAAAAGTTTTGTAACTCTATTAACAACTTCGGTATAGTATTTAACAATAGGTTTTGTTAAAAATTCAAAAAAATGGCATTTTTATAACTTTAACAACTACTTCTTTTTGAAAATTTTTCCAACTTCAGTATAACGGTTAACAACTTTTGTAACTCTATTAACAACTTCAGTATAATAGTTAACAACAGGTTTTTCAGCAAATTCAAAAAGGAACATTTTACAACTTCAGTAATGCCGTTAACAAACTCAAAAACCTGTTGTTAACCGCTATAATGAAGTTGTTAATAGCGTTACAAAAGTTGTTCACTGTTATACTGATGTTGTAAAAATTTTCAAAAAAATTGTTTTTGGCCTCCAGAGCTCCAGCGACCAATTATTAAATTTCCCGAAAAACCTGTTGTTCACTGTTATATTGAAGTTGTTAATAACGTCACAAAAATTATTTACCATTATACTGAAGTTGTAAAAATTTTCAAAAACATTATTTCCGACCAGTAAAACTGTTGTTAATTGTTATACTGAAGTTGTTAATAACGTCACAAAAGTTGTTAATCGTTATACTGAAGTTGTGAAAATTTTCAAAAAAAATTTTTTCCAACTGCCGGAACTTGTTGAATTTCCCAAAAAATTTGTTGTTAACTGTTATACTGAAATTGTTAATAGTATCACAAAAGTTGTTAACCGTTATACTAAAGTTGTGAAAATTAAAAAAAATTTTCCAACCACCGGACCTTGTTAAATTTTCTAGAATACCTGTTGTTAACTACTATATTGAAGTTGTTAATAACGTTACAAAAGTTGTTAACTATTATACTGAAGTTGTGAAAATTTTCAAAAAAATTTTTTTGACTGACAGAGCTTCGGTGAACAATTGTCAGCCGGTCGTCGAAGCTCCGGTGACTACCGCTGTCGGAGCTTTGGTAACCAACCGGCCAATAGAGGATTTGATATTTTAAAAACAATAAATAAATTAAAGGGTAATTTGGTCTTTTTATTTAATATGATAATTTCAATTTGGTCTCTTGAGACCAAAATGAAATTTCTTAAATTGAACAGATGTTTTGGCAATTATAAAATTATTATTGTATTTTTCTGTCTTTTTCTTTATATTTTACCTTCTTTGTCCGTCATTTTCCTTTTCTATTTCAATCAATCGGGCCGTTAGGAAGAATAGACACCACTTGTAGGGCTGTGCATGAGGCCCGCATGCCCAATAAGCCCGCCCGAGCCCGCAAGAAAAATGCCCAGCCCAACCCAGTAAAAAGCTGCCCAAGCAAAAATGGGCATCTTCGGGCCGGGCTGATTCACGGGCAGGGCAGGGCCGCGGGCAGGGTATGCTGCCTTGCCCATTTGGCCCTGCCCGAAAAAATATATAATTATATATATAAGATAATATTATTTCAAGCAATTATCTCTTTTATTTTAGCTAAAAAAAATAGGTAAAATTAGAAAAAATGAAAGGAACATAAAAATTATAATTATATAAAAGAGCTAAATATCAAAATATAAGATTCAATATGCTAAATTACTCCAAGTCAAATGTTCTTCTTTTTCTCTTGCATCCAATTTTTTAAAACAAAAAAAAAAATAAAACCACCTTTCAAATTTTGTGCTTTCACATGATTATAAGAATCCACCAACTATATGGATAAACTAAGAAATTGAAATACTGATTTAGCTTAATTATTAAATATTCTAATTATTAAATATTTTTTTTTTACCTCCCATAAGAAATCAAAAGCTAAAGAATAAGACTACATAGGCCTTATATATATATATATGAGTGATAGACTCATTCGTGATAATTTTTTTCCTCTCATTTGTCTCAAAACATGATAATTGATTTTTTTTTTACATATGACATAGGGCATTGTGTTATTACGCTGGGCAGAAAAGCCCGCCCTGCCCAGCCCGCCCTTGCCCTGCCCAAAATGGTTAGGGCTTTTATTGGGCAGGGCCGGGCAACGGGCTACAAAACGCAACCCGCTCATCTTTCAGGCTGGGCATCGGACAAGGGGCTTGTCCTGTCCAGCCCTATCCATGTGCAGCCCTAACCACTTGTAAGCTGAAATGCCTTCAAAACCTTCTGTAGAATCAGGATCATCACCATAATCCTCGCCTCGCTCTTTCTCATCCGCCTTCGTTCATTCCCACCGACAAGTTCTCGACGTCACATTACGCATTAAAGATTCTCTATACGACCTACGAGAATCATTCACAGTATCCTCTTTTATCCACTCTTCCTGTCTCACCTTCCTTGCTTCCTCACCAGTAAAACTCTGACCCTCCAAGCGAACCTTCTTCTTCCTCATATTCGAACCCCACCACCCCCGTCCTCCATCCCCCAAACACCAGAATCCTCATTAATTCCCCTTGGCAAAGCACGAAGAACGGAATCCCTCTTTTCCTCCGCTGCAGTGGGCCACGGAGATCTTACAGAGCCGCCTAAGCAGAAGACGGCAATCGTCCAAACGAAACCCTAGCAGAGCGTCGGAGAAGTTTTCCTCCAGCTCTAACTTTGTACTTTAATAGGATATTGCGATAATGGAGATATGCATCGTTCTGTTGCTGAGATTGGCTTGGATTGCCGGGACAGTTCCCATAATCATTGCTTCTATTCCCACGTCTAAGCTGAATTGGTTTCGTGGAGCCTTGTTAGGGTTCGCTAAGAGGGGGAAGATCATGCAGTCATCCTCACAAGTAAGGGAGTAAATTATAATTTGGGCATATATTTGTTCAAAATTTTCAATTAAATATGTATGGTTTTGGTGCCACCGTATGCTTTTCTTTGAGAGAATGCTAAAAAAGTTACCGAAAGTCTTGAACATAAGACAAAACAAAGTGTGTTTTCCCCACTTCATGATAACATTGTTAGGCTTGTTTGAATAATAGCTTAAGGTTTTACTAGGGAGCTTCAGAAAGAATGTATTGAGTGGCCATCGTATGAGGGGTCTCTGTGTGGGAGCTAAATATTAAAAACACTCGTGGCTATTGATTGGGGATTCATGCCACACTGCACTGCATTAACTACCAAGACAACAATTTCTTTCTTTTTGTTTTTTGTTTTTTTGTTTTTGTTTTTTTTGGGGGGGGGGGGGTTGTGGCTGGGGCCGGGGTGGGATCTCATCCAACCTTGGGGTTCTTTGGATTAGCTTCTTAGAAGTGATTTTAGTGTATAAGAGACGAGTTTTGTCTCAGTTTTTGTCAAAGTACTTTTTTAAAGTGATTGTAGCGGGTTGCCAAACTCCCCCTTTTTCTCATCCTAAAAATGACTGGGAGAAAAATTACCCCGTCATGCTGATAGTTTATGAAGTATAGACCCTTCAAAGGATGTGTGGTGTCCTTATCCAAGGCAAGTTGAACGCTTTATTACACCACACATAATATTTCGAATTACCATGAGGCTTTTTCAATATTTCATGTTTTATTGTGTGTCACTATCCATGCTTCTCTGGGTACGTTTTGAAAGAGTTTATATTCTACATAATTTTGGTAATACATGCTTTTGTATATTTGGATAAACAACCTTAAGTAACGCAGCAGTATCCTCCATGTTACATCTTTTTCCTAACAAGAAGTGTAACTGTGAATTTACGACTCATATGTCGATAGCAAAAAAGAAAATGGAAATTTAAAATTTATCCCCTAATACAATATTCCATTGCAGAAATTCACTGTTCCTCAAAGATTATTCTTGCACTTCTATATTGTGGCTTCGGTGTGGACAACATTCTTGCTTGTTTCAACTTCGATGTACGCATATACCATGGCACTATCAATTGCAGATCCCTATGCTGTCTCAACCATTACCAGCTACCTGACTGGAACTTCAAGTATAAAGTCTGATTCAAGTAAAATAGAATCCATATATGTAGCCTGGCTATCTGTTTTTCTGCTTTTGCTAATGGAGGTCCAAGTTCTAAGACGCCTTCATGAAACGATATGTGTATTCAATTATAGGCCTGCAGCTCGCATGCATATCGTGGGTTATTTCACTGGTTTGTTGTAAGTTTCTTCATGGTCCTTTTATTCTGCTTGACTTTCTAAGCCTCCATTTCATTTTTTTAAAATTATTAATTACGGCAATTTTGAGGTTTACTTTTCTGTGAACATTGCATTTCTGGTTGTGAAGTTTCCCCAGTTGTTTTGCTAATTTTTAAGTCCTTGACTGCTTTCATAATTTTTTTTTAAGTAAAACTGAGTGATATTTTGTTAGCTTATACCATGTCTAACAGTAATGTGCGGTTTCTGAAGTTAAATGTCTGTCTTATTTGATACATATCTATAGTTATGTGGTATATTGAAAAATATTTAGAAATTGTTAATGTTCATTGAGTCTACTGATTTGAATTCATAATAAAGCATCTCATAAACGTGTCAAAATGAATGATGACTATAGTTATGCAGTGGATTAAAAAATAGCCAGATGTTGATAAAGGTTGCTGGACATACTTATTTGAATTCATAATAAAACACTCAAATATATATCAAACTTATCTGAATGATACCTTGTTCGGCATTTTCATTGTAAATATTATATAACGTCTTTTTCTCTCTCAATGATAAGTTTCTCCTTTTAGATAGTTATGCTTATGATGGATCGACTTTGAGACATGACATATGACAACATAATATTCCTAGGATTTGTATTTGAATGCCAATGATATGTAATAGATGTCTTTACTAGATTATTCAAATATGAGATCAACCCTGATGCATTGATATCTGTTGTTAAATTTAATTATTTATTTTATTTCTCTTTATTTTATTTTGTGAAGCCTGTTATGATTATTATGTATTTTGTTTTTAGGATATTCAGCTTTACAGAATCTCCTTTATAGATATCTCATAAGCTAATACTCCTCCGGTCTTTAATATGAGATCTATTTAACTAATTTGATTAGATTAAAGAAGTTAGGTAAGTTAGTGAATTATAAAAAAATATGACATGCTTTTCTTAAAACACCATAATCATCTTTCTTAATATGCTTCCTTCTTTTTCTACTTCATTATGGTTGAGGGAGTACCTATAGGGGTAATTTAGGAAAAATTGATAAATATGAGAAATAGGTATTATATTTAGGATCAAAATTAACTCAACAATTATGTCTTATATTAAAGACCGGAGGAGTATATCTATAGGTTCTTTTCTGTTAAGCTTCAAATATGAATAAAAGAATCAAGTTGAATGCATGTGATTTGTTTGAGTAGTGAGTAACATGCATTGGTGTCTTTATCTCTTATTGATGCTGTCTCGAAAGGAATTGGAGGTATCCAACTTCATATAAACTTCTATCTGCGAATGTGAATTTTACCAGTCAATTTCAGGCTCTGGTGGGTGCAATTTCAATTCCTTATATGCTATTTGATAAAATGTCATTTGTGAAGCACTTGCTGCCTGTCCCATGGTTATGTTTCTAAGTTAATAGTTATTTTGTGCTTAGAAAATTGTAAAATAGAGATTGTTGATTTTGCAACTTTTCTGAAGCTAGTTTCTACATAGCAGCCCCACTATCACTTTGTTGTGATTGTGCATTAGAGGTGCGTGACTTCACAGCAAAGTTAGTAATTGCATTCATTGTCAAAGACAAAGTTCACATGCCAGAAACTGAATTAGATTACTCGCTAATTTTAAATCATCTCTTCAAACTTGGATGGCTGCCATGGTTTGGTGCGACTATATTTTTATGGGGCTGGATTCATCAATACCGGTGCCACACAATTCTTGTATGTCTCATTCTCCTTGATTAGGTTTTTAATTTTGGGCTTGTGAATTGCTGTAATTGAATGGCATGACCAATCATTTCAATACCTTATAAATTGATTTGGGTTCTTTGTTAACGGGCGTCGCTTCTATTTCACTGATATCTCTGTACTCCTGGTACAAGTTGCAGTAGACAATGAAATCAGTCAAGGAAATTAAAGTTTTGAGCAGTATTCTTAGTATGTACTTTGTAACATACAAGGAGATGAAATTGAGTGCAAAGGATGCACATTATTAGATAGTTCCTAAGCTTATAGCTATGCAACTTAAGACTTATATGTGCACAGGATTGAGTTATATATTTTGTTAGGACTTCCTGTATGTGGAATTCTTTTCTTGAAGATTCCTTTTGTTGCTTGAGTTGTTTTTCCATTCAATATATAATTTTATTAACTTTGAAGGGCTTGAAATTTTGTCAGGGCTTGTTACGAAAACGTTCAAAACAAATAGAAGAATATGTAATCCCTCATGGTGATTGGTTTGAACTTGTTTCGTCGGCACACTATCTTTCTGAAATTGTAACTCTCTATCTCTAGTCTTTTGTCCCTTTTTGCGTGTCAGATACTGATTAAATTGATAATGATGTAGGTTATATACGCTGGTCTTCTTGTTGCAAGTGGAGGAGTCAACCTTACGATATGGCTGCTTTTTGTTTTTGTGGTAATATTTTCTTTATAGTTATCGCGAGACTCAATATTTTGAACAAATGATTCTCTGATTCTAATTTGCTTATTTTGCGTGCGTGCGTGCGTGCGTTTTAACTTCTTGGTTGAAATTCAGGTGGCAAACTTAGCATTTGCAGCTGTCGAAACGCATAAATGGTATCTTAAAAAATTTGAAGATTATCCGAGCAATCGTTTCGTCATAATTCCATTCGTTCTCTAGGAGTTGGTAAATATTTGTTTCTCTAGGTATGATTTTGAATATTTTATATTTATAATTTTTTGCAATAAATAATACTCCTCCGGTCCTTATTATAAGACCCAATTTGACTTTTTATTTGGTCCTAATTATAAGACCCAATCCATTTTCTCTCTTATATTTATGCATTTTTTTCCAAGATAATCCTTCTAATAATGATATTTTTAGCCAATATACTTAATTAGCAAGGATATTTTAAGAATAACAACACTTATTTATTATAAATAACCAACTTAACTTACTTCCTTAATCTCCTCAAATAAGTCAATTGGGTCTTATAATTAGGACCGGAGGAGTAGTATTTATTCTTCTAAGAGTTTACCCTGACAAAGCTCTATAAAAACTGCCGTAGCTTTATCCAATAAAATTATTAAAGCTCAAATTTTAGCCAGGTTGATTGGAAAGAAGAATTTGCAACTCGATGCTGATTAAGGTAGAATTGTCATGAATAGTTAAATGGAAAGCATTAATTAGAATAATAAGCAAAAGAATTTTTTTTATTACGAAAGTTGCCCAACTTGATGACTGATTTTCTTTAAAGGTCAATCTCTTCTCAATTTGGTTCTTAATAATGAAGGTATTCAATTTATTTCCTTCAATGTTTTTTCTTTTGTCAATATAATCTAAAAAAGTCAATGTAATGTAAAAGTTAGAGAATCTAGAAACGATCATGCTTGAGCAGATAAACGTGCACTAGCGTATATTTGGTCTCAGTGGTGGGCTCTTCTAGGTAATGCGGTGTAGTTGAGTTCAACTGGTGGTGTATAAAGAGCAAAGTAGCGTAAGCCATGATGCTAAAGTGAGCAAGCATGCGATATGAATGAATAAATATAAGTAAATGTGGTTATAAATAATATTCTTCGTGTTCTTAATAGAAGGCTTAATAAACTAATTTGATTAGGTTAAAAATATAAGTTAAATTAGTTGATGAGAATTTTTTTTCGTAAACAATCCTAAACATTTTTCTATTTGATTGTTGTTGGAAAAATATTGATAAAGTTAATTTGAAAAAAATTCATAAATATGTGAAATATGTTTTACATATAGAACTAATATTAACTTATGTAAGTTTTTTTTTTTTTATTTGTGTGAGATAATTAGGTTTCAAATTAATGACCTGGGGATTTTTTTTTTTTTTTGGATACAATTATCTTCTATTCTTTGCAACTGCACCATTTAGCTTCTCATTAATTGCAAAATCCGAAACTATCAGATTGAGCCATTCGAGTTTCAATCTGAATAGATTTAATCTCAACCTTCGAGTAATTTTACGTGCATGCTGGGGATAGTGATGGTAAGGTTAGTGGCCTGCCATGTTGTGAGAAATATTTATTGTTTATTTGTTAATATTTTTTTTGAGAAATATTTATTGTTTATTTGTTAATATTTATTTATTTTTGATAAATATGATTTTAAAATGCTTATATTTACTGAGACAATATACCAAATTTTATCCTTTTCTCATTTAATTTTCTTTTTATTTGTTCCTTTTTGGTAATTTATGATTCCTTTTCTTTTCTTTTCATTAACGAAGAGCAGTGTAATTTCCATACATGCTAATTTTTTTTAATATTATATTTTTTTGTGGCAGTGCTATCATGTCGAACCTTACAAAATGTGAGTTTGTGACTCGACATTACCAGGAAGAACTACTTATTTTGGATACTGGATCTGAAAATTCACTTAAATGCCAATGGTCTGGGAGATACAATTAAGGTAAAAAATAAGGCATCTAATTAAGAAAAGGCTAAAACCATGATCTTTTTATGCCATCATTTACATGAAGGACTAAAAATGGAATATTTGATCATTAAAGATCTACTCGTTCTATGGAATAGTTTGAAAGAAAGGTATGACCACCAGGACACTGTCATTCTTTCAAAAGCTCGTTATGAATGGATGCACTTATGCCTACAAGATTTTAAATTTGTTAGTGAGTATAATTCTGCAATATTTAGAATCAGTTTTCAACTAAAATTATATGGAGAAAAAGTCACTGATGAAAACATGTTAAAGAAAACATTCTCCACATTTCATGCATCTAATGTGCTCCTGCAGCAGCAATACCATGAAAAAAGCTTCAAAAAGTATTTTGAATTAATTTTTTGCCTTCTTGTAGCTAAGTAAAATAATCAGCTTTTAATGAAAAATCATAAATCCCCTCCAACCGAATCTACTCCATTCTTAGAAGCGAGTGTAGTAGTAAATGGACCAACACGTGGTCATAAACGAGGACATGGATGTGCACAAGGCCGTCGCATTGACCGTAGACGTGGTCGTGGTCATAATCGAGGTGGTTCAAATTCCTACTCAAAAAGGGCAAAGAATGATGAGAATCAAAAAAGAAAGACTAGTGGAAGTAATAACCACTCTGAAAATTCATGTTATCGTTGTGATGGGAATGGTCATTGGTCACCTGCCTGTCGTGCACTGAAATATTTGGTTGACCTTTATCAAGAATTGCTTAAAAATAAAACTAAAGGCAACAACAAAATGCCAAGGGTAGAAACCAATTTTGTTGATGAAGAGGGCGATTCTGATTATGGCAACATGGATGTCACTCATTTGGATATTGCTAATTTCTTTACTGATCCTAATGGAAAGATTGATCACCTGATTGGTGATGGGAATGTTCAGCAATAAATTATTTTAGTGAAGTTAAATTTCTACGACTTAATTTTTTTCCCTCTTTTTCATCTTTTTTTTTTTTATAAAGTTTCTACTTTCAATGTTGTTATCTTTCTAAATTAATAAAATTATAAGTATTTTCCTTTTATTAATTTTGTTTTTTTTCCCTTCTCCTCTCTTGACTATGTTCCTTGTAATGAAGAGTGGCTCCCATTTACGTCAATCATGAGGATTTATGTCTTGTTGATAGTGTAACAACTCACACAATATTTAGAAATAAAAAGTATTTCTCTTTTGATAGTGCATTTTACTCAACTAAGTCTAAAAGAAATCTGTTGAGTTTCAAGGATATCCGCAAGAATGGATATCATATCAAAACAACAATTAAGGAAAATCAAGAATATCTTGCTATTACAAAGTCAATTTTTGATAAAAAAATGCACACTAGAAAGATTGCCTGTATTTTCTTCTGGCTTGTACTACACAATTATTAGTACAATTGAAGTACTCATCATTATAAACCAGTAGTTTATAAATGATAACAAATTTAATGTTTGGCATGACCGGTTAGCCATCCTGGGATAATTATGATATGAAAAATAATTGAGAATTCATGTGGACATTCATTGAAAAGTCAACAAATACCACAAGCCAATATTTTCTCATGTAATGTATGTTCCAAGGGAAAGTTAATTGTTCGGTCATCACCAGGAAAACTAGAAAATGAGCCTCTCACTTTTCTAGAATGCATATAGGGAGATATTTGTAGACTGATACACCTACCATACGAACCACTCTGATATTTTATGGTTCTAATTGATGTATCAATAAGATGGTCGCATGCCTATTTATTATTTTCGTGTAACTTGGCATTCGCAAGATTATTGACTCAATTAATCAGATCAAGAGCACATTTTCCTATCAAGAAAATATGTCTTGATAATGTTGGTGAATTTACTTCACAAGCCTTTAATGATTATTGTATGTCTCTTGGGATTGATGTTGAACATCTTGTGACTCGTGTGTACACACAAAATGAACTTGTAGAATCATTGATCAAACGCTTACAATTAATTATGAGATCATTACTTATGAGATCAAATCTCCCAATTTCTGCTTGAGGACATGTAATTTTGCATGCAGCAATGTTAATTCGTATCAGGCCAACAAGTTATCTCAAATCCTCCCCTTTACAATTGGTTTTTGGTCAAGAACCCAATATTTCCCATCTAAGAACCTTTGGATGTGCTGTATATGTTTCAATTGCTCTCCCACAACGTACTAAGATGGGTCATCAAAAAAGGATGGGAATATATATTGGATATGAATCTCCTGCTATAATAAAATAATCTAGAACCGTCAACAAGAGATTTGTTTATGGCTTGATTTGCCGATTGTCATTTTGATGAGTCAGTTTTTCCAACATTGAGGAGAGAAAATAAGAAGTTGGAAAAGGATATTAGCTAGAAAGAATTATCACTATCTCATCTTGATCCTCGCACAAAAGAATGTGAACTGGAAGTTTAAAAGATAGTCAATTAACAAAATTTAGCTAATCAATTACTAGATGCATTTACTAATCCAAAGAGAGTAACAAAGTTACATATTCCAGCTATTAATACTCCTATTAAAATTGATGTCCCTGATGGACAACCAATTGTGAATGATTCTAAAGTATGCATGAAGCGTGGCAAGCCCATTGGTTCTAAAGATAAAAATCCTCAAAAAAAAAAGAAGAAGCTAAAAGCATAGATGGCCTAGTCAAGAATAATTTAGATAAGTTAGCAAGTCCAGAAGAGTCATTAGACAATGCTAACATCCCAATTCTCAAAGAAAGTCAGGTACCTAAAATATGTGAAAATGATGAGATTTCAATTAATTATATTATGAATAGGATAAGATGGGACTGAAGTGAAGTCAATGTTGATGATATTTTCTCTTATAATGTAGCGCTCGATGTGATGAATGACAATGAGGATCATGAACAAAAGTCAATTAGTGAATGTAAACAAAAAAACGATTGGCCAAAATGGAAAGATGCAATTGAGGCAGAATTAAAATCACTAAAACAGTAAAAAGTTTGTGGACCAGTAGTCTTTACACTTCAAGATGTAAAACTAGTTGAAAATAAATGTGTTTTTGTGTGAAAGAGAAATAAAAAGGGTGAAATCATAAGATACAAGGTACGACTTTTTGCCCAAGGGTTTATACAAAGACCTGGTATTGATTTTGAAGAAACTTATTAACCAGTAGTGGATGCAACTACTTTTCGATACTTGATTAGGCTCACAGTAAATAAGGGGCTCAATTTACATCTAATGGATGTTGTTACAACCTATCTGTATGGCTCACTTGACAATGACATTTATATGAAACTCCCTGAAGGGTTGAAATTGCCAGAAGTATACAATTCAAACTCTCAAGAACGATACTGAATTAAGTTAAACAAATCCCTATATAGATTAAAGCAATCAGAGCGAATGTGGCATAACAGGCTTAGTGAGTATCTATTGAGGGAAGGATATAAAAATGATGCAATGTGCCCATGCAATTTTTATGAAAAGATCAGGAAATGAGTTCATTATAATTGCTGTATATGTTGATGATATAAATATTATTAGAACTCCTAAAGAGCTTGAAAAGGCAGTTAATTGCCTAAAGAAAGAATTTGCAATGAAGGATCTAGGAAGAACAAAATTTTGCCTTAGATCACAAATTGAGCATTTGAAAAGTAGAATTTTCGTATATCAAGAAACTTATACAAAAAAGATCCTAGAATGTTTTTATATAGATAAATCACATCCATTATGTACTCTAGTGGTTGTAAGATCTTTGGAGGTGGATAAGGACCCTTTTAGACCTTGAGAAATTGGGGAAAAACATGATGAAGAGCTACTTGGTCCAGAAGTACCATATCTTAGTGCACTAATGTATCTGGATAATCATACGTGACCTGATATATCATTTGCAGTTAACTTACTAGCAAGATATAGTTCTTCACCAACACGAAGGCATTGGAATGGAGTTAAACACATCCTTCGTTATCTTAAGGGTACAATGGACATAGGATTATTTTATTCAAATGCATCCAAGACCGATCTGTTGGCTATGCAGATGCTGGACTTCAGTCTGACCCATATGTCGGTAAATCACAAACTGGCTATCTATTCACATGTGGTGGTACAACCATTTCATGGCGATCTATAAACCAAACTATATCAGCCACATCATCTAACCATACAAAGGTTCTAGCAATACATGAAGCAAGTTGAGAATGTGCATGGTTAAGGTCCTTAATACATCACATACGAACTACTTTGGCTTGTCTTCTAGTAAAATGATCCCAACAATACTATACGAAGATAATATTACATGTATTACCCAACTAAAAGAAGGGTACATCAAAAGAGATAGAACAAAGCATATCTCCACAAAATTCTTCTTTACTCATGACCTTTAAAAGGATGGTGAAGTCAATATCCAGCAAGTTCATTCTAGTGAAAATTTAGCAAACTTATTCACCAAATCACTTCCAGCTATCACATTCGAGAGACTTGTTCATGACATTGGGCTTTACAGAATCAGAGATATCAATTGACATTGTCAAGAGGGGGAATAAATGCATGGTGTACTCTTTTTTGCTTGTCTATGGTTTTTCCTACTGGGTTTTTGTAGCAAGGTTTTTAACAAGGCAGCACTATAAAATATATCAATAAATGTTGCACTCTTTTTCTTCTACTAAGTTTTGTCCCATAGGGTTTTCTTAGTAGAAGTTTTTTAATGAGGCACATATTTAGTTATGAACATCCAAGGGGGAGTATTATGAATATAATATCTTTATGGATGTCCATGTATCTATCATTATCTCCCTTATCTCCCAATATCTTCGATATCTCTCATTATCCCCATTATCTGCAATTATCTTTTATTATTATGTTATCTGTAGATTTTATCAAAGATGCAAAACTGTGCCTATTTATACACTTTTGAATGGAATGAGAAATACTCTTTCTTATTGATCTTTTTTTCCTCTATACTATTCTTCTTTATTCATAACACACTTGATGTACCCAAAAAAAAAAGGAAAAAAAATCGTTCGCCTTGTAGCTTTGTGCCTTTGGCTCTGTTTGCTCATGTAAATGTGATGCCTAACAGTGAAACAGCTTTTCTAATTAAATTGATAAATTTATTTTTTTAAGATTAATTTCTAAAAATAACTTTTTATATCTAAACCATATTAGCAACAGACTCAAATTTACTATGATAATGTAAAATAACTCACTATATAATAATATTATTTGTGATAGAAAAAAGTAGGATCTAATCATACACACTATCACATATAAAATAACTTCCCTGAAATTATTCACATACTAACCAACATGAAAACAATCAATCTCATCTAACATGGTTATAAGACAACATTTTGCATAACTCGTAAACTGAAATAGTGAGAATCTCATCAATATTTTATAATAAATTCATAATAAACAGATCACATGCGATCTTAAGCCTGTGGCTACTGCCAGCATGCATACCATAACAGAACAAATAAAAGAACACAAAAGCATGATGATGAACAAATCAATTAAACACAGTTTGTCCTAAGGTGGTAATATTCAAGAAACAATATAACTTATAAATTGAGAAGGCGCTACAAGTCGCTATGTAGCGTTACTCCTTTGGAGCCTTCTCCGACATTCTTATCTAAAGCCTTTACTTGAAAAATATCAAATAATAGTTGTGCAACACTATCTTAGTAACTAAATTTCCACCTATCACACACACTAGCATGGGCTAGCAAAGTGTTCGGTGGGACACATAGAGTTAATAACAATCAATAAACATTTACTTAACAGGTAAACCCATAATGACAATATAAGTTAGATATTTCAACCAGTCTTATGCAATTGATAACATCAGAAGAGATAATATACTTTTCATTAATTTGAAGTATACATAAATATCAATGAAGATTTCATGTCATATGCAATACCTGAACTCAAGTCTACCTT